CAAAACATACAGTTTTTAGAAGAAAAAAAAAGAATGAATATTTTCCCCTAAATCTAACCATCAGTGGGACATAAGCAGCAAGTGCCTGAGATTGTATGAATTCATGCAAATTTGCCACCAATACGCTAAAACGTAAAATGCATTTTTTTGACATCATTGGTGCATTAATTTACAACCGCAAGCATCAAAATTATTATCGCATATTATTCAAATTATCGCATATCTAATTTTGACAAATATAAGTGGAATTGCACACATTCTTCTCAAATCTCAAGTCTCAGAATGCATTGGGATAAATTCATTTTTCCTTCAAAGATGGTGGATTGTGTGGACTTTTAGTACTGAAAATGATCTAATTAAAAATTACCCAATATTTGTCTGTGCTCTTTGTTTTGTTTTATATAGTATTGTAGCGTATTTAGCATAGATTAAATTAGTGGTCAACCAATATTGATTTTTTTTTTTTTGCTGGCCGATGCCAGTATCTTAAAGAGTAGGCCGATTTACATGTTATCACACTATTTTATTTAAATACATGCATAAAAATAGCTGAAATTAAATACAAAAATACAATTTGAACTTAAATGAAAATAAATCTATAAAATAAACAAGGATTTGTTTTTTTTAATTAAAAAATTGCAAATATTCACATTATATATCAGTCGACCATTATCAAAATCAACTCTGAACATTAGCTGTTTTTTCTGTGTCTTTCATTTGAGGGGCCCTATTTGTGCACATTAGCATGTGTTGACATTTAATTTAAGTTACTAATCAGATTCTTGCCTTAGAAGGTAGCTGTCTATGTAGACTGCGAGACAGCTTATTAGGATTGGCAGAGAACCTATGTGCATGTGCTTATCTTTATATCTGGATGAACCTGGCCTTAATCTGCATGTCCTGATGCATTGCGGCTGGTATCATTTATTACTGTGTCCTCATTGGTCTGACAGCAGTAAAAACATCCTCACTAACTCATGCCCTAAAACCATCACAACACAGTCCTCAGGTCAACACTAGCATTTCAGAGAATGCACTTTTTTTACATGAATGTTGCACTCTATCACCAGTACATTTACACTGATATGTGCACAGCGGTCTAAACATGCCCACTCAGCTATGCATACACACATTGACAGTGTGGTTGTTTTTAGGTCTGTGTGTTGAATGTGGGGAATGGCAGTGGTGTTGATCCAGCCGGTTTTTTTTAAGGCAGACTAATGAATGTTTTATGAAGACCCTGCCATTACGTAAGGATCTTATGCCGCTCTCTTCTCTTTCCTTTAATCCGCACATTAGCAAGAGTTTCTAATTTCAGCCTGCTTCATCCTAGTCAAGGTGAATCCTCAGTCGCTGCAACTCATCTGGAATAGCATTCAGAGGAATATTTTGCACTGCGATGGCTGTTAGATTTCAGCTGATGTCTTTTTTTTTTTAATTAATCATTATTACAAATAAATAAATGATCTTTATTTTAAAATAAATAAACCTATGTTTGAGATTTATTTTTCATAGGTCTGTTGGGACACCTGAAAGAATCATTATTTAATTTAAAGATTGAAAAGTTCTGTTTTAATTATACATTAAATGAGCCATTTGATTTATAGTCTCACTTTACCCTCAGGAAAGATGTGCATGTAATATGGAAACGAGAGCAGACAAATAGACGTTTCTGTCTCATTAATGTTGAAGACCGTTCGGAAGAAAATTATACACTGCTTTTAGGTTTCAGATCTAATTTTTAGGATCTAATTTTTTAATGTGCAGCCGTATATGCAGTCAGCAACATGCCAAATGCAGGAGGCACAGCTTAACATGGAAAAAAAACAAATCTGGATTCTCTAAATTGTTTTTTTCTTTTAATATGTGCATGTGTGCAAGATAGCACACACAAACATTTTGGGGTTTCATTTAAAAAATGGCCAAATCTGTGAAATCAAAGTTCTTTACTGTCCCCATAGAAATAAATAGATAATAATAATAGGTAACTGTGTGCTAGCTGGGATTTAAAAAAATATATATTTTATGCATTTTGTAAATTAGCATTTACATAGTAACATTTTTAATAACTTGTATTTTTATATATGAGATATAAAGAAGTTAATTAGATATATTTTGTCTGTTATATTCTAAATTAAATTAAATAAATTGATATAATATTATTAGTTTATATTATAAATTATACATTAATTATAAATGAGCCAATAACATTTTTAATAACTGATTGATATATATATATATATATATAATGCTTGAACTTTTCAGTTTCTAAGCTATTTTATTGGCAAATCCTGTCTGGCACCATCTGAATGATTCTGTGAGTGCAATCTGCGCGTGATGTACGAGCTACTGTCTGTAATGTCTGTACTGTCTCCTGTTCAATTTCGAGCATCCAGTAATATAATCACACGTCTTGTGGAGCGCTTCCAGATTATGCATTTATTTGCGCCTTCTATAGGACCAGCGACTAGTCGACGTCAAGCTTAAAGCGTCATGGCAGAGCATTGAAGTCGACTAGTCG